ACTCTTCGGGTACTGCTGCACGTCGCCGCTCAGCGTGACTACAAGCTTCACTCTCTTGACTTCAGCACAACTTTCTTACAGGGCAGCCTGCACGAGGAGATCTGGCTGCACCGTCCACCTGGCTTCACTGGATTGTTTCCTGCAGGTACCCAGCGGAGCCTCCGGCGGCCAGCATATGGTCTCCGCTAGGTGCCGCGTGAGTGGCACGACACACTGAGGATGGCGCTTGCGGCTCTTGGATTTGCTCCTTCGACTGCTGACCCGTCATTGTTTCTTTGCACCGACACTTTGCTGCCACCGTTCTACATCCTCGTGTACGTCGACAACTTGGTCTTCGCCACTGCTGACACTGAGGGACTCGCCCGTTTGAATTCGGGGTTGCAGAAGAGACACGCGTGCACAGACCTGGGAGAGCTGCGCAACTATTTTGGCTTGCAGATCACCCGGGACAGAGCAGGGCGCACCATTACCTTATCTCAGTCACACATGGTGCAGCAGGTCCTTCAGCGCTTCCGCTTCAGGTACTCCTCGCCACAGTCCATTCCTCTAGCTACTGGTCACTCGCTCTCAGCTCTGCCTTCGGATGAGTCTGTAGAGTTGAGTGGCCCGTATTCAGAGCTTGTGGGCTGCCTCATGTACCTGATGACCTGCACTCGACCTGACCTTGCTTACCCTCTTAGCATCCTGGCACGCTACGTTGTGGCCGGGAGACACCGACTAGAGCACAGGGAGGTCGCTAAGAGGGTGTTGCGCTACTTGTGCAGTACATCGGGCATGGGGCTCGTGCTTGGAGGACACACTCGAGCTGTCCTCACTGGACACACAGACGCTTCTTGGGTTGACGACTTGGCTACGCAGCAGTCGTCACAGGATTACACCTTCAGCCTTGGCTACGGCTGTGTTTCTTGGCGATCTACCCACTCGTCTTCTGTTCTCAGTTCCAGTTGTGAGGTTGAGATCTACGCAGGGGCCATGGCTACATAGGAGCTACGCTGGCTCAATTACCTGCTGACCGACTTGGGCAAGCCACCTCGTTCTCCTCCAGTTAATGTACATCGACAACAAGGCCATGATTGCCTTGTGACAGGAGCACAGACTGGAGCACAGGACAATGTCAGAATGTTATGCTGTAGCCTGTAGTGGGGTGCTCTATAGTGAGTACAACCCTTCTAGGGTTTGCTCTTTGTATCCTCATTCCTGCTAGTGAACCCCTCTTTGCCTAAACTGTTTCTTGCCTAGCTAGGGCTTTCCTAGCTATCGCTCCTACTTCTGCCTACTATTCTCACATGGTATTAGAGCGATATGCTCCTGGCTTGTGGGCCCCACCTCACTGCTTCCGTTGCTACTGCTACTCCATGTCCGCCGCGCGCCCCATGGTGCGCGGCGTCGAAATTAGGGTTTTCAGCCCGCCGTGTGCCCCGAGGCGTGCGGCGGTTTTTTCAGCCCGCCGTGCGCCCCGAGGCGCGTGGCGGTTTTCTGCCCGCCATGCACCCCGAGGGGCGCGACGGGTTTCTGCCCCGTCACTCGGCGCGTCGCCCCCAGGAGGCGCTGCGACGGGCGACGGGGACCCGCGCGTCGCCCCCCGTCGCCCGTCGTGGCCTGCGCGCGGCCCGTACAGGCTACGGGCGGCCCGTACAGGCTGCGCCAGGCCCGCGCACGGCCCGTACGGGCTGCGCCAGGCCTGCACGCGGCCCGTAAGGGTTGCGCCAGGCCCGCGCGCGGCTCGGGCCGCCTGCGCGCGGTTCGGGCGGCTGTGCCAGGCCCGTGGGCGGCCCGTTCTTTGCTGCCCCTGCACTGCCCGCTGTCCCCCGTGCCTCTGATGGCGCCCCACCCCTGCTACTGCTTGTGCTCCTGCATTAGGGTTTGGGGGTGGAGCGTGTGGTGGTATGGGGGTGCAGTTTCTCAGCGGCATCCCCTGCTCCTCCTCCTCCTCCGTCTCCCGCTACTGCAGCTGTCGCTCAGGGGGGTGGGTGTGTGGGAGCCGAAGGAGTGGTGCTAGGGGGGTGACGTGGGAGTGGAGCTAGGGGTGAAGCAAGGGGTGCGTGTCAAGGGGGGGTGGGACTATTTGGGGAAGTTGAACGGAGGTTTCCGTCGTGTCGCCAGCAGCACCTGTAGTCCGGGGAGTTGCTCCGGTAGCCCAGTCGCAGCCTCCTGTGCCAGTCGCCCGTGGGTCCGTTGCTCGTCTGCCGCTACTTTTAGCCGTGGGGCCAGCTACTCCAGTAGTCCGGAGCGTTGTTACGGTAGCCACTGTGCTAGTGTGCCTCCTGTTGCCCGTGTGTCTTCAGCTTCAGTCGTCGCCTCCTATCTCCTCTCCTCTTAGAGTCTCGCCTCCTCCTCCTCACTTGCCCTCTGCGATAGCCTCTAGCTTTGCTTACACTTGTGAACTTTCAACTGTTGCTTGCCTAGCTAGGGCTGTCCTAGCTATCGCTCCTACTTCTGCCTACTATTCTCGCAGACGAAGCACATTGCTCTGCGTTACTTCTTTGCTTATTTTGACGATATTTGTTTTTTCCCAAGTAGTACCGTGTTTTTTTTCGCGGACCTGCAGTGCGACATTTCACAAGCTACGACCAACTTCACATTGAAATTTGCAGGCAACATTGATTATTTCATGCTCGTGCAGAATCGCACCGAAATCACTCGCCAGTTGGCTCTGGTGATCGCAACGTGCACTGTTGAGAGCCTCTAATTTTTTTGTCAAAAAAGTTGTGAACAAGTTGACGCATGCCTTTGGATATGATTTGAACTACTCTTTCCTGTAAGGCCAACATCTTCAAGTTACTCTTTCATTGTAAAAACTAGAACTTGTCTAACAGTATATAGCTTTTACTACTGTATAGTGCCGGCTATAGGACCCGACGGTATGAAGGACCCACGGGACTCTTGAATGGCTAGGGGGACTCTTATTGTGGAAGGGTTGTGAGGACCCCCCTTTTGCCTCTAATCATCATAAGACCCCCCTTTTATATATACAGCAGTTGTTATTGCTATTGTGAGTCAGCACAGATTTGAATGTTGACACGCCTTTTGTGTCAGACTTGAATTTTGACACATAATTTGTGTCAGACTCGAATTCTGACACAGATCTGACGCGCTGCTCGCGCGAAATTTGCATACGAAGGCTGTTTTTAAGACCCCCCCGCCCCGTACACTCTAAATAACAGATTGATAGTTGATAAATAAGTGTACCCCAGGTTTAAAACAATTTCTTCCGCCATAATGTCCACCCAAGCATATTTTTAAAACCCGTGGGTCAAGAAGGCCAAATTTGGCTCATCCTTCCTAATTTTGGTTGAGTTTCCCAAAAACGCTTGTGCTGATTCTCGATTGTTGAGACCTAGGCCAACATTTTCAACACTCCTATTGGCTCGCGGCCGAATATTGTTCTCACTCCCAACCAACCTTCCTAAGCTTGAATAGCTTGGCTTGTGGGATTTAAGCATTTGTAGAGAGTCCCCCGGGTCTTATAGCCGGCACTATACGGGTAGATCTTGGACACTCTGTCGTGGTGCGCAGGGGATTGAATAGCAATGGTTTAAAATGTGCCATGCGGGTTCGATACCTGTTGAAGTCCCTTTTTGCGAAGGATTCTCGAGAGCTCTCTAAGAACAATCTTGGTGTAACTACAATGAATTAGTGTGAAGCACTTTTAACTATCAATGTTGTCAAGCTAAATTTTTTTTTTTTCGAAAGTGTCAAAGAAAATTTCACTTTGAAAACAAAGGGTGCAGAAGCAAACCCGACCTTATAGTAAGTGTCACAAGGGTTTCGCTTTAGAAGTTCCATTATCACCGTAACTGTGGTCGTACCCTGTTACTCACAGAAAAAGGTTAATTCATAAAATAGTGGCGGCCAAAAAGGGCAAAAAGAATAATTTACCCTGATATTTTGGGCCCTGATGCTCGGCCAAGGCCACGACTGCAATGTGTTCCTCCTGGACCAATGGCTTAGCTCAACAGCAGGGACAACTTTAGTAAAATCCTTTGTCTGACTTTCAGACAATGTTCTCGCCTCTTGTCTGAGAGTCAGATGGAAACTTTAGGGTTTTCTGAGTTTTCATACGAATGTACCCTTGTCTAGAATTTCAGATGAATATATATGTCCTGTCCTATATGAACTTTATATGTGAAAGGGATTTTAGAAGAACTGTACAAACCAACGAATAATATTATAGATGTGCTACTCCTATCCTGAAGTATCACTATCACTTCCCTCGCAGCTGTCAGCCGCACGCTGATAACAAGATGCCAATGTACAGTAATTTGTCATCTACTGGTCTCGTGCCAGTGGTGCAACGCAAAATTGCCAGAGTCACTGATGGTCAATTATCCAAGTGGCAAATGTTGTCGGTATTAGACAAGGTACAACCCGCTGTCTTGTATATGGCTGTCTGCAAGATTAGATGAATTTGAAATGCTTGTCATATGATTCAGATGAAATCAAAACATGTGCCTAAGGATTCAGATGAACCAAGAATAACGAGTCTGAACACTAGACAATCAGACAATAATTTTTTTATGACGAAGACCCTGCTCAGCAGTGTCAAGATGTGAGTGAGTGAGAGCATCGGTGCTACTACTTCGCCGCGAACTGTGCAGTGCATGGCGTAGTTGAATAAATCATAGGGGAACTAGCTACTATGCGTTGTTCCTATGGTTTTAGCAATACATGTCAAAGTGTATGCATACCTAGGCTATAGTGGAGCATGCTGTGGAGAGTACAGGTTGGTTAGGGTTTGGTATTTGTACCCAACCTTCGCTAGTTCACCCCATTTCCGTTGTTCATTGTTTTGACATGGTATCGAACAGAGTGACAAGCAGATCACCAGCGATGCATCTGCTTTCTCGGGCGCTGTCAACACCATCGTGGCTACAACGGGGGTCAACGGGAAGGAAGGAAAAGGGGGAAGGGAGCAGATGGACAAGAAGAAGGATGGCAAGCGGGAGAAGAAGTGACCCCCCTTCAAGGGGCGCTGCTACAACTGCAATGAGGAGGGGCACATGGCTGCCAAGTGCCCCAACAAGAAGAAAGATACAACGCCCGCGGCAGCCGCGAACGTAGCTGCAGGAGACGGGAAGGGCGTGGCACTCACCGTCACGTGTTCGGCTGCAAAGTTGCTGGCCGACAACAAGCACTTGTGGTTCCTTGACCCAGGATGCTCCCAACACATGACCGGCCGCAAGGAGTGGTTCACGGTGATCCGTGACCCATCTGCAACGAAATCAGTCAAAGGGTTTGATGGTTCTAAGCAGGAAGTTGCCGGTGTTGGTGAGGTTTTGCTGGAGGGCACTAACGGCTTGCGTGTGACCCTACATGATATCCTCTTTGTGCTAGGAATGAAGGCCAACTTGGTCTCCCCTGGGCAGCTCTTGGACAAGGGAGCAAAGCTGCAAACCGAGGAAGGTGTCACTCGCATCATCGCATCAGGAGATCAAGTGGCTGCAATGGCACGATACCGCCATCGCCTTCACTACCTTGACCTGAAATCGGGGCCAGCAAGGAATGGTGCAACGGCTGTAGCGGCATGCAACGGCACGGCGGCTGCAGCGGCATGCATCGATATAGCGGGTGGAGCTGCGAGCAACGGCACAGGGGCTGCATCGGCATGCAACGGCACGGCGGCTGCAACGGCAAGCAACGGCACGGCGAAGGAGATTGCTGATGTGGCATCAAGCAAGCTGGAAGCTAAAGATGGAGCGGCCAACCTCAAGACGTATGCGGTAGGCTCCAAGGCAACGTCGAACCTGTGGCACGCTCGCCTTGGAAACGTCCACCTTGATGCAGTGAAGCGGACAGCCACGAGCGGTGGCGTGTTCGGCATAGACCTGGAGAAAGGAGGTGAGGATATGCCGTGCACTTCCTGCCATGAAGCCAAACTCACTCGTAAATCATTTCCGCTGCATGACGAGCGAGAGGAGCATGTACTTGGGCTGGTCCATACTGACGTGTGCGGTCCATTTCAGACCCTGGCCATGGATGGAAGCAGGTACTACATCCTTTTTGTCGACCACGCCTCACGTTACACCTGGGGGAAGATGTTGAAGCTGAAGAGCGACGAGCTTGTTGCCTTCAAGGAATGGCTTCCCGAAGCTGAACGCCAAACCGGGATGACGCTGAAGGTGTTGCGGTCGGACCGGGGAGGGGAGTTTATGTCGAATAAGTTTCTGTTTCTGGTGAAGCAACGAGGAATTTTACGTCAACTCTCCTGCCCCTCAGCCTCCCAGCAGAACGGTGTGGCTGAACGCCACAACCGTACGGTAACCGAGGGCATGCGTGTGATGTTGGGGCACATGGGGGTGAAAGCACACTGGTGGCCCTTCGCTTTCCAGCACTTCTTGTGGGTGGTAAACCGTGTGCACCAATCCACCCTGCCCCATGGTGTGACCCCTCATTTGGTGGTGTTCAAAGTCAAGCCCGATGTGTCCATGGTCCGTGTGTTCGGGTGCATGGTGCAGTACCTCATTCCTGAGCATGAGCGTGAGGGGAAGCTTGCAAGCAAGACTCGTTGGGGCATGCATTTGGGCATGAGCATGGAAAGTAAGGGATGGCGTGTGGTGGATGTTGAGTTAAAGCACATCATCATCACCCGGGATGCACGTTTTTATGAGGACATGTCACTTGAACGGTGGCAGAAGTGGCGTGCACGCGTGGGTGACGGGAATGACCAGCCCACACCACCCTTTGCTTCAGTCCCATCTCTCTTCCCTAAGCCCCACGACCCCGAGCAGAATCCGCCGCCACCACGTACCGTCATCGTGGTCCCGGTACCGTCTGTGCAAGGGGGCGAGAAACCCCTTGATCGCTCGGTGGGCAGCAAGGCACCCACTGCACCTCCTCCTCTTGGTCCACCCTCCGTTGCTGATTTGGCGCCCATAGGAACAGAGGATGGTTCTTTGGAGGTTGACACCAGCATGGCTGATCACGAGGAGGAAGAAGAAGAAGTAGCAGTGGTTGAGCAGTCACCAATGGCCCATGAGCATGAGCCTTCACCTGCACCCCCCCCCCCCTCCAGCCCATTCCACCACCCCCACGTCGCTCCAGCAGGCCTAACAAGGGGGTGCCACCCGTACGGTTTCAGCCATCAGCCATGACGGCCCTGGATGCGGATGATGAGGACAACCCGTACGACGTGGCATACCTTGCTGAGGACGAGTGCGACACGGACAGCGATGACGAAGTGGAGTACCTGGACGAGGATGAGGAGGAAGGCGCTTGGGGAGGTGTCATCCTTGACCTGGCAGATGCGTTGATCAGACCTGAAGGCAAGGAATGGTGGGCTGCTATGAAGGAGGAGATGGAGAGCCTTGATGAGCAAGGCACTTGGACGTTGGCTGACCTACCTGAAGGTCGCAAAATCGTCGGCGTCAAGTGGCTGTTGAAGAAGAAGCTGTGACCTGATGGCACGGTGGAGAAGTACAAGGCCAGGCTCGTGGCTAAGGGATTTAGCCAGCGCTTTGGCATCGACTACGACGACACTTACGCTTCTGTTGGCAGCTACACCACCGTTCGCGTGCTCCTCTCAATCGCAGCAGCTATGGATCTGGATTTGCTGCAGCTTGATGTGAAGAATGCATTTCTTCACGGCACCATCGACCACGAGATCTACATGCAGCAGCCGCCCTACTTCTCTGATAGTAGCAGCAAGGTGTGCCTCCTGCAAAAGAGCCTATACGGGCCAAAGCAGCATCCCCTTCTGTGGTATAAGGAGCTGGACAAGGTGCTCCTTGTGGAGTGGTACAAGAAGAGCCTTGTGGACCAGGCCCTATACTACAAGGATGGGGCGAGCGGGAAGCGCGTGTGGCTGCTAGTCTACGTGGATGACCTGCTAGCGGCAAGTGAAGACCAACAGCTGCTGCAGGACCTGAAGGGGTTGCTGGCCAAGGCGTTTCAGCTCCGTGAGGTGGAGCCAGCGGTGCGCTACCTAGGGCTGCAGATTGTGCGAGATCGCCCTAACAGGACACTCTTCCTGCACCAGAATGCGTACGTGGCGAAGGTGCAGCAGCGGTACTTCAAGGGGGCGCCACCAAAGAAGCAGCCGATCACTCCTCTCTCCTCTGCCAGCTTTGCCAAGCAGGATGCCGGGCAGTTTGCCAACCGTACCCTATACTACAAGGATGGGGCGAGCGGGAAGCGCGTGTGGCTGCTAGTCTACGTGGATGACCTGCTAGCGGCAAGTGAAGACCAACAGCTGCTGCAGGACCTGAAGGGGTTGCTGGCCAAGGCGTTTCAGCTCCGTGAGGTGGAGCCAGCGGTGCGCTACCTAGGGCTGCAGATTGTGCGAGATCGCCCTAACAGGACACTCTTCCTGCACCAGAATGCGTACGTGGCGAAGGTGCAGCAGCGGTACTTCAAGGGGGCGCCACCAAAGAAGCAGCCGATCACTCCTCTCTCCTCTGCCAGCTTTGCCAAGCAGGATGCCGGGCAGTTTGCCAACCGTACCATGACCGAGTACTTGTCAATTCTCGGCATGGTGCAGTTTGCAGCCATCTCAACCCGTCCTGACCTCTCTTTTGCATGTAGTCACCTTGCAGCAGGTGCACACCTCAAAACCGATGCGTATTGGCATGAGCTCTTCCGCACACTCTCCTACTGGGCTGCCTCACCGGACAAGGGGCTGCTGTTCAAGGGAGGACCAGAGAGTTTGACTCTCGTAGGGTATGCGGATGCGGATGATGCAGACAACAAGGAGAACCGGTCGTCCACCGGAGGCTACCTCTTCAAGCTTGGCGGAGCTGCCGTTTCATGGCAGGCCAAGAAGCTGCAGGGTGCGACCAAACTTTCCTCCACCGAGAGCGAGCTTGTGGCTGCGGTGGAAGCGGGAAAGGAGGGGCACAAGCTAAGGTTCCTGCTGTGGGAGTTTCAACTACTCAAGAAGGGTGTCCCCACCACCCTGTACGTCGACAACATGTCAGCGGTGCAGCTCAGTTAGGCGGGCGGGCTGCAGGGGCGCATGAAACATGTGGATCGTCGCCAGGCTACAGGATATGGTGCGCATGAAGAAGTTGGAGGTGCAGCACATCCCTACAACGGCGCAGCCCGCGGACTTCTTCACGAAGCGGCTCAACAAGGCAGCCTTCAACCGATGCTGTGCAGCAGCCGGGCTGGTTCAGCGTGCTCCTGATAGCAAGGGGGCGTGTTAGAAGGAAATGCTGTCATGAACAACAAAATGTCTGCGCAGGGATTCGAACTCGTGACCTTCAAATCTGTCTTGAAAGTGTCTCAGGACAGATTCAAAACAGTTTCTGCTCAGGCGCTGGTTATGGTGCACACGAGTTTCGAATTGGAGACCTTTCGATTCAAGTGTCCCGAAAGTGTCTTGTCAAGACAGACTGGGGACGGTTTGGGTACATATTGGGGATACTTTGGCGAAATAGATCTCAGGTCGCGTTCGGTTTGAAACTCGGCAGCGAAGTGTCGAATTCAACGGAATTTGCATGGGAGTTACAGTCGGTGGTCGACGGAATTCTTGTCGCGGAAATGATCATCTACGGAATTCTAGTCAATGGAATTCACTCAGCGCAATTCAAGGCTCCGAGTTTCGCGTCGACGAAATTCAACGTGCAACCCGGGTCGACACTTTCTTGTGTACTTTTATTTTGTATTGCGTCCTAGTATAAAACCAGAGAGCACAAACCAGAAATCATCCAAGTCATTATCACTACTATGTTTGTGTGTATCTCTGGCTATAGTGGACCGTTTCCAGCAATCTTTCGTGCGTTGGAATCGTGCTTTTGAGCTCTATCAAGCTGCTACAGTAGTGGAATTCTACAACTCCCTCGCCGTAGTAGCTTCATGAGTGGGTTGCTAGTGTAGGTGCTGGTGAGCCTACTAGCACATGTGCAATTCATGCGAAGGCTTCGCTCACGTTCACGTTGGACCCCATCACGACTCGGTGATTTTTCCGCGACAGCATTACCGTCGGCTCCTGTCCCTGTCACTCTAGCCGATCCCACCTCCAGGCCCGTTGTTGCTTGCAGCTTCACTATTCTCCTGTGCCCAGTAGTTCCCTCTGGCTCTCTCACAGGCCTGCACCTCCCCTCGTTCGCTTCGAACTAGGTGAATGCAGGCCGCCTAAAGAAATTTCTCTTGACCACTACGAAACTTGGAGGCAAGCGAGTTGCGACCTGTATGGATACATCAATTGGAGCTCACCTAGCCTAGTTCATGAGGAGGCCCAGGTCTAGACTGTTCACACTGCACATTGAGTCCCCCCAGGTGGTTGCGTTAGGTCAGGTAGTTGCGTCTTGCTCGTGTCGGCTGCTCACACACGAGTCCCTCATTTGGCACCACCATCTCGGTCTCCCCTCCCTTCAGCGTCTCTGTCGCATGCCCTTGCGTCCCCTTGTTTCTGGACTCTTGGAGTCCCTGCCCCCACTCCCGCCGTCGCTTGCGCCTCCGCGCACTCCTAAGTTGAGGGGCGGCAGTGCGGCGCTTTTCACTCCTCCTCTTTTCCTCCGAACACTCTCCTTTGCAGACGCTGCACATGGACGTGTGGGGCCCCGCCCCCATCCATGGACTGCACCTGGAGCGCTACTTTCTACTGTTCGTCGACGACTTTACGTGCTATACCACGGTGTTTCCCTCAGAGCATAAGGGCGACGTCTGTACTGATTTGATCAATTGGATCCGCGTTGTTTGTCTCTAGCTAAGGCACGTTTCCAGCAGAACTCCCCAGTGCTCCATCTGCATTTCTTGAGGTTGCCTCCATGATCCATGTGGTTGCTCCCCACTTCCTGTGGCCATTTGCGGTCTAATATGCCGCGCTTCAGCTTAACCACTGGCCCCGTGTCTCATAGCTAGAGACCTCGCATGCCCTTCTTTGGACGTGGGAGGTTAACGATGCGTTTGCGTTTCAGGTTTGGGGTTTGCTTGCCCTTGTCCGCGATCCTACACCGGGCAAGATCTCTCCACGCATCATTCGCCACGTCTTCCTTGGCTTTCCTGTCGACGCCCCTGACTGGCAGTTTTACCACCTAGCCACTCGTCGCGTCCTGTCCACCCGAGACGTCACATTTGACGAGTCGGTTTGCTACTACCGTCTCTACCCCCACCGCAGTTCCCCCGTACCTCCCCCGCCCCTCTTCCTAGTTCCAGGTCCCCCCCAGGTAGACCCCCCTCTCCCCCCTCGTCCTGCTCCCTCAGGTGTGTCTCAAGTCCCCCCACTCCCCTCGGTTGTGCCTTTGGAGGTCTCCTCAGACCCCTCTGGCCCGGATGAGGGGGGTGACCCTGCTATTGGCGACACAGAGGCCTCTCGCGGCCCACTGCAGCCTGTCGCTGTGGACTCTGGTGAGCCCGGTGATGTTGGGGGTGGTGACTCTAGAGGTGCGGACTCCGGGGGTGCTGGTTCTGGGGGTGGTGACGCTGAAGGTGCAGGCTCAGGGGATGCTGGTTCCGGAGGTGCTGACTCAGAGGGAGCTGCCGCAGGGGGTGCTGCGGGTCCTCGTGTTTGTGGAGTCAAGGGTAATACTGCTGGAGGTTCTGAGGGTGAGTTGCACCCACTGCCACGGCAGCCCCTGTTCTGGGAGCAGCAGCAGACGTTGCTGCCACTACTTGGGTCTGCTACTGGAGATTCTGGGGTTGCTGGAGGTTCAGTTGCTGGAGCTGGAGGTGCTGGAGGTGGAGGCGTTCTTGGTGTTAGTCCTGGAGGAGGTGCTGCCACAGAAGGTGTGGTTGTACTGGATCTGGAGGCGTTCATGGTGTTAGTAATGGAGGAGCTAATTTTGGGGGTGCGGCGCTGCGGTAGCGGCCGTTGTTTTGGGAGCAGTCGCTATTGTCGCTGCCGATACCTGGGTCGGTGCTTCGCCACCTTCTCCGTCTTTCGTCTGCCTCTGCAGAGCCGTTTATCACTGGTTTCCGCCACCTGACCTGTCTCTGTCTTCGCTCTTGAGGCATCTCAAAAGGCTGCTATTCCATCCATTTCTTAGTTTTAGTAAAACTATTGGATAATATTGGTGTTGAAAAAAAACAAAACAAGCAAAGGGGTGAACTCACTGATATAGTTGCAGCTGCTTCATTCCTGTCACCAACTTGTGCCGTCTAATTCTGCACGCCCCCTCATTCCCATGTGTGACTTTCCCATACCTTTCCCTCTCTCTCCCTATCTCTCGTTCTCTCTGTCTATCCACCTCTCTCCTCATATCTCCCTTTCACTTCCTCCCCCGCGCTTTCCCTCAAGCAGAGACGACATTTGGGAAGAGCCATTCAGTGAGCTGGATCTAAGTGGAGGCTGTGTTGACTGATATAGTTCCTGAGGAGTGGCAGCAGCGTGAGGGACGAGTTGGGATGTCAGCGTGAGGTGAGTCTTGCAATTTTTCAAGATGACTTCTGTTGGTTGATTCAGGAGTGAGCACCAGGAGGGAGAGGGCTGTAGTGACTGAGATTTCCGGAGAGGAGTGGCAATCTGAAATGGCAGGAGAGTAAGGGGTGTCTTGCAATTTGTCAAGATGACTTCTGTGTGTTGATTCAGGACAGGAGTGAGCAACACGCGGGCGAGGGCTGTGGTGACTGCTATATTCGGAGAGGAGTGGTACCTATGCTGGATTGGCAGTGTGAGTGGCAGGTTCGGATGAGAAAGTGCAGTGCATGTCACAATTGGGTCTACCTCCATTGTAGGCTTTGTTTATTACCAGGGCCATCTAGTTTGCGTGCCAACTCCCTTCCGTGGCAGCGCCGTTCAACAATCAGACGGGCTGCGGCTGTGCATTCGTCGAGCACGTCGTGCTGCACATTGCGGCAGAGTAAAAGCATCAAGGGCGCCTATTCTGGTAGCATCACCACGCTGGGTCGCCGCGATAGAGTAAGCCTTCTCGCGATAAGATTTTTTCGGGCCTGTCGGCGGCTCAGTGCATTGCATGCGCGACACAACGCGATGCCACGCACTCTCCTTACCGCCTCGCCTGATGCGCGCCTCCTCCGCTGCGCGCCTCTCCCGCTTAACACCGCACACTATGCGCGGCTCTCATGCCTAGTAAATCACCATCTGCGCCCCTCTCCCGGTCGTCGCCTCGCCCGCTGCGTGCCTTTCCCGCTTAGCGCCTCACCCGCAGCGTGCCTGACCTGCTTATATTTATATTTCCAACCCTAAGCTTCCCATGTTATCCCCTCTTCTCCTCGTCATAACCCCCCCTACTCACCCTCCTTTAGCGTCAATGCTCGCGCTCATTTTCCCCTCTTCTCCCTCGGTTCCCTCACTTCACCCCCTCATGTGCCCCATTCTTCCTCTTATTTCCCCCCATCCACCCTCACATTACCCCCCTTTCTCCCCCTCAATTTGGCCCCCTTCACACCCCCATTTCTCCCCCATTTCCCGTCGTCCATTTCTCCCCCATATCCCTCTCAGCCCCCCTCGCCCTTATTTTACCCCCTTCTCCTTCTCAGTTAAGCTCCTGCTCCCACACATTTCTGTTGGTGTAACGACCTAATAAACTCAAGCTATTTAGACTTATCAAACTTAAAACCTCTCCTCGGGGTCACCTCCAAGGGTCCTTAGGTGCTTGGTACAAGACCAGCCCCTTTCTTCGGGTCCGAGTTTGTAGAGAGAGGGATCAAGAGGGACTTAGTCAAAACAGCAAGAGTACCTTGAATGTCGTGCAGCGTATTGTGCAGACGGTTGATCGGATTAAGCTGAGAATTTTCTATATCGAAGCTCGCTCCAAGAGCTTTAAAATGAACCAAGTTGCATCGCGAAAAAATCTGCCATTACGAAGTCATGGCTCGGACAGCGTTTGCTAAGTGTTGAAGTGCTAGCGTACTAGCGTTGACTCGGGTGGCATTCTGCCGTCGCACCGCGTATAAACGAAATTCCAGGAAGGGAGGAATTCGCTTGAATCAAATTGACTATATCCAGGTACAAACAGAGAAGGAATGAATAGTTCTAGCTAGCAAGGATCTTGGGAATAAACCTGGGAACAACCAGGGATGATCCCAAATAATTCCAAGCAACAGAACCAACCTGGCTGGACAAAACAGCGGGTGGTAGGTTGGTAAACAACCTCTGGTTCTGTTTTTCCAACCTGGAAATACAACAACCTGGTTCAGGTCCTAAAAACAGAACCAGTTTTATCTTTGCCCAACCAGCCAAATGCTAGTTCCGCTGGTTTCCCCTGGCCATGTAGCGTGCAGATATAGACAAACAACATCCAACCTTCACCTAAATTGTACCCCTATAGTGCCTGCCCTGCTACACTATAGTCAACCAAACAAAACAGTACAATTTTGAGTTGGATAGAACTGAATTACACAATCTTCAACCAAACCGCAAAGCTTCCATCTTGGGTTCCTTTGCGAGCTCGTCCTTTGTGCTTGTACTGTTCATAGCGCGTACAATGTTGTGCCAAAGCGCACAATGCGCGAGTACTTGCAAATGCTTCAAGCGAAAATTGCGAAAGCAAACAAACATACGAACATTCCATTCACACCCAAATGCATTCGCACACGCATACTCGTACAAACAGACGGCAGGATGTCGTGCAATGTGAATTTGCACCCAACAATTTTCCCCATTTCTGGCTTTGATTCCCCCCTTCTCCCTCTCATGGGTGGCGTGCCCTCCCCCCTCATGTTGCTCCCCATCATCCCTCTCATCATCCCCTCTTCGTCCCCTCAATTGCCCCCTTTCTCGCACTCAAATCCCCCTTTTCTCCGTCTCATCTACCCCCTTATCCCTCTCATTTCTCCCCCCTGCCCCTTTTCATTCCCCCTAGCCTTCCTCCTCCCCTCATCATCATTTCCCCCATTGCTCCCTCTCATTTCCCCCTTCTCCCTCTCATTTCTGCCCCTTCTCCCTCTCATTACCCCCCCGTCTCCCCCTCATTTGCCCCCCTTCTCCCCCCCATTTCTCCCCCTTCTCCCTCTCATTGCCCCCTCTTTTCATTCTCAAATTCTCCCCTTCTCGCTCTCAAATCCCCCTTACACCCCTTTCCCCTCTACTCCCTATCATATCCCCGCTTCTCCCTCTCATTTCCTACCTCGCTCCTTCTCAATTCCCTCGTTGCGCACTCTTAGCCCCCCCCCATTATTGCCCTCGTTTACTCCCCTTCTCCCTCTCATTTACCCCTCTGCTCCCCTCATTTCGCCCCCTACTCCTTCTCACATCCCACACTTCACCCACTCATTTTCGCCCCTTCTCCACCACACGTCCCCCCCTTCTCTCCCTCATTTCCCTTCCTGCTCCTTTCACTACCCCCCCATCTCCCCCCCATTTCCCTCCGTCTTCCCCTTCGTTTCTCCCCCTTCTCCCTCTTTTTATCCCCTTTTCACCCTCTCAAGTTCCCCCCTCCAGTCTCTCATATCCCCCTTCTCTCCCTCCCCTCCCACCCCCACCCTCTTCGATGTCGTGCTCCAAACGCGCCACCTTGACCTGGCGGTATCCGAGAATTCCGCGGCAGCGTGAATATAGACGAAATAGGGATACAAAGCTTTCACAAATTGACAAACACACTGTAGATTGTGCACACTGATCCCACGTAGGATCGGTGTTGCAATTTTGACGCGTCCTCAGAAGAGGAACTTGCCCTGCGGCGCATGATACCCCCTCTCCTCGAGAACTTACTATGACACCCTGTAAGGAAAATTCGTTTTCCTTACTTCGCGTCCCTGCTCAGCGCGTACACCACTGTTCCCGCCAGCAGCACCCAACAGTAAACTGTTACCACTTGCGACACTCTCCTCGACGCTGTTCCCGCCACTGTTTACGACGCGACCCAACCTCACGGTTTGGTTGGTAACCCGCGCTCTGGACCTCTGCCTTGAGTTTTCCCATCCTCGGCCCTAGGCCCGTCGCGCACCCCAATTTCCACACATTACCGTTATCACTGTAGTTTTGCTATATTTCTTCGCTCATGCCTTTGCTCATTGTACTCTTGCTTCGATGGTGCAATTCTCGCTCGCTCGCTCAATTGCACTCGTAACACTTGGTATTAGAGCCTATGATCTCCTCTCGGACCGCACCCACACCTTCGCTTCCCCATTATCTCATTTTTTTAAGGGGGGTAGACGTCTCTCAGCGAACAAGCACCGCCGCTCAAAGTGCTTTCTCGTAAGCACGTACGGCCAAGACAGAGGCTCTCGCTGAGCTCTCCCGACACCCCCGCCATGGCCGAATTTACTCTCGCGACGCTGACGTAGGAGCAGCTCGACCGTCTGGTGCGCCAACTCGAGGATTCGCAGCTCGAGATTGCGACGCTCACGGCGGAACGCGACTCCGCTTGCCAGCAATTAGCGACGAACGCATCAACACCAACACACGCACCCGCAAATGCACCAGCGCAAACGGATGAGCCAATCGTCATCTCGTCCGGCACGCCATCACGGCACGACAGCGTGGGACAACGCTCAGGCGCAGCCAGTGATGGCGACGCCCACTCAATGCCGGGCATGGAGAGAGTCAGGGCTGCACCAAGCACGCAGGGGCCTCGCGAAGCCTGTCGGCACGTGGAGTTTGCAGCAGCGAGTGGCAACAGCGATGTCATGGCACCGTTGCCACTCAGGCTGCAGCGCCCGCCCTGTTTCTATCCGAGCCAACGCGGGGGACCGACGGTTCAATCATGGATTTTTATGACAAACGTCTTCTTCGACGCGAATTACGTCGAGGACGATGCAGCGAAAATTCGCTACGTAGTATCACTGCTGAGGGGCCCCGCCATGGACTGGTGGCGGGTCATTGTGACATCGCCACGCGCCTACAAGCCGCCGTCACAAGAGGGAGAGCCCACAGGTCCAGCCGTCACCTAGAGTTCATTTTGCGAAGCCGCCCAGTACAGCACGTGGGACGCGTGGTGCGCAGGGGTTCGGGCACGCTTCGAGCCGATCGCAACTTCAAATTCAGCGCGTCAAAAACCACGTACTTGGCGGCAGCACGGGTCAATGCAAGACTACTCGAGCGATTTTCTCGCATTATGTGAGCAAGTCGGCTACATGCACGAAGCGGAGCGGGTGGACAGTTACGTCAGGGGGCTGAAGACAGACATCTCGCACGAAATCATGCTACGCGGGCTCTCGAATTTCAACGAGATCATCGAGCTCGCCGAGAAAATCGATATTTTGCACCGTCCAAGACCGGGGTCCTACTACAGACATCGTCCTTGGGGGCTGACTGAGCACGCCACTGTACACGCCGTTGCGACGAATGCAGCTGCCACGCCATTTAAGGGGGCACTGCTTTGCTTGCAATCGGCCGGGCCATCGCAAGAGCGAATGCCCAGAGGAGCTGAGGCACCGCGGAACAGAGCAGGGAGAGAGAGTCTCAAAGACAGGGAAACGCCAACAGTCAGTAAAGATTGGGCGAACTACTGACAAGACTACCTCCTCGCCCAACCTCACCGACCCTCACCGAGTCACAACACCGATTCACGCCATCGATACTGATTCAGGCTTGGATGAATAAGGAGGGTAAAGCGACGAATTGTCCGGTACTGATTCACGGGAAAATACAGGGAGCAGCAATGAAGATTTTTATCGATGGAGGAGCAAGTTACACTTTAGTTAATACCACGACCGCATGGAAACTGCAACTAGCACTTAGTCGGTGTTTATTGGAATTAGATGTACGCTTAGTCGATGGCATGCCGCTGGACATACGGGAGAAAGTGGAGAGAGTATAAGTCCGCTGCGGGGGGGAAGTTTTGGTTCACACAGGAAATGCTCGCGAAGACACTGGATGGGCACGACATTTTACTGTGACGTGATTGGCTGTGACGGTATAACCCGCGAATCGACTGGACGACGGGTAGCTGCACTGTGCAAAGTAGCAAAAAATGAACTACCTCGCTGGCAGTCGCCTGAGTCTTCAACGGTCCACGTCAACGCCATCACAATGTAACGGGCTGTCGCCGCTGGAGCTGACGTGTACGCAGTGGATCTAGTAGTAGTCGGGGAAGCACAGAAGCCGAGCGATTTTCAGAAACTACTAGCAGCGGTACCGCCTGAACTACAGGACCTGTTGAAATGGTACCCATGAATTTTTGCCGACGACTTGCCGGAGGGACTGCCACCTCAGCGCGCACACTACAATTAGATAGAATTAGAACCGGGGGCACAACCAACTGTACGGCGATGGTTTAGACTGACACAGCCGGAGCTCAATGAGTTAAAGAAGCAGTTAGATTACTTATTAGAGAAGCAGTTTATCCGACCGAGCTCGTTACCGTTCGCCGCACCGATACTGTTCACACCGGAAAAAGACGGAGGGTTTCGCATGCGCATCGTGAGAAAACTGAAACGAGAATGAATTGACTAAGGGAAAGTTGGGACAAGTACAAACCCTAGAAAAGTCGTACCCCATATGTGCTAACCCACTATAGCCTACAACAGCTATGTCATATAAATCTCACACACCCCCAAAGGCAAAGTGGGGGATAACAAGGGGTCACAAGACCAGACAAGCAAAGCAAAGCAAAGCAAGCTCAGGGTGGATCACAAAGTCACCACACATTCAAGGCCACAAGGCCAGTTCACATGCAGGAGTACACATATATATAAAAGGCTAGACAAGCAAGAGCAGGTGTATATATATATGTAAAAGTACAAGCAAGGTCAAGAGGTGAGCAAGTGAGGCAAGACAGGCACAAGACCCAGCTGAGTACAGAAGCGCTAATGATCACAAGGCGCAAGCGCCTTGGTGAAGATATCAGCAGTGTTAGCCTCAGAGGCCACGTACGCAAGACGCAGCTGACCACGCTGCTGTAGCTCACGAGCAAGGAAGTAGCGAAGAGCAATGTGCTTCGTTCTGTGCTCCAGTCTCTCCTCTCGACACAAGGCCAGCATGGCCTTGTTGTCTACGTACAGCACTGGAGGAGAACGAGGCGGCTCTCCCAGGTCAGTCAGCAGGTAGGTGAGCCAGCGAAGCTCCTGTGCAGCCATGGCCCCGGCGTAGATCTCAGCCTCACAAGTGGAGCCGAGAACAGAGGACGAGCGGGTAGCCCGCCACGAAACAGAGCCGGAACCAAGGCTGAAGGTGTAGCCTTGTGACGACTGCTGCGTTGCCTGGTCGTCAGCCCAAGAAGCGTCTGCCTGCCCAGTGAGGACCACTGGACTCTGCCCTCCAAGCACAAGCCCCATGCCCGACGTACTGCACAAGTAGCGAAACACCCTCCTCGCTGCAGCCATGTGCTCCCGTCTGTGTCTCCCAGGAGCAACATAGCGTGCAAGAATGCTAAGAGGGTATGCAAGGTCAAGTCGAGTGCAGGTCATCAGGTACATGAGGCAGCCAACAAGCTCTGGGTACAGGCCACTCGACTATACGGACTCATCCGAAGGCAGAGCTGAGAGCGAGTGGCGAGTAGGCAGAGGAGTGGCCTGAGGCGAGGAGTACGTGAAGCCGAAGCGCTGAAGGACCTGCTGCACCATGTGTGACTGAGTCAGGGTAATGGTGCGGCGTGCTCTGTCCCGGGTGATCTGCAAGCCAAGGTAGCTGCGCAGTTCACCCAGGTCTGTGCACGTGTGTCTCTTCTGCAGCTCGGACTTCACTTGGGCGAGTCCAGCAGTGTCAGCAGTGGCAAAGACCAAGTCGTCGACGTACACGAGGATGTAGAACGGAGGCAAAGAAGTGTCGGTGCGCAGAAACAACAACGGGTCGGTAGTAGAGGGAGCAAACCCAAGAGCCGCAAGCGTAGTCCTCAGTGTGTTGTGCCACTCACGCGGTGCCTGGCGGAGACCGTAGACTGGTCGCCCGAGACTCCACTGGGTGCCAGGAGGAAAAGACCTAGTGAAGCCAGGTGGGCGACGCAGGAACTGCAGCTCGGCGGCTCGGGCGGCTCGGCGACAACTGCGGCTCGGCAACTCGGCGGATCGGGCGGTTCAGGCGGCTCGGCGGTACGGCGGCTCGGCGGCAACTGCAGCTCGGTGTGCGGCGCCCCGGTCGGGAAGGGCTGCGTCAGGGCCGCTGGGTAAGCGACGGGGCCGCTATGGCGGCGGATCGGGGCCGTCAAGGGTGGCGCCGCTAGGGCGGCGCGACACAGCCACTAGGGCGGCGCGACAGGGTCGAGAAAGGGGAGCGCGACTCGGGCAAGGGCTGAGCGCGCTCCGGGCAGGAAAAAAAAATATCGAATCGGTGTGCCCTAGGAACAGTTCCCACGAGGTCACCTGCTAGATACCATGAGAAAACTAAAACGAGAATGAATTGACTAAGGGAAAGTTGGGTACAAGTACAAACCCTAGAAAAGTCGTACCCCATTTGTGCTACCCCACTATAGCCTACAACAGCTATGTCATATAAATCTGACACATCGATTACAGAGCACTGAACAGGGTTGCAGTTAAATTGCAATAACCAATTCGCCGCGCTGACAAACTGATAGATCAACTGCGAACGACTCGGGTCTTCTCAAAAATCAATTTACGGGGAGGTTACCATCAGATTCGAGTTGAACCATCAGGCTGCGCCAAGACAACTTT